ATAACTTGCTACCAGTATAGATTTAATAACTAACTGATCATCATTCTATTTTCCTATTTGTTTCTTTTATAAATATTAATTAAATAATATTTATTATATTTGACATGATTAGTTTTGTTTCTTTCTACATTTTTCATAATAAATTATTCTAGGTAAAAGATGTAATCAGACTATTACTATTAAACATATATTAACAAGTAATTATAGAAGAAAGATTCGAAACATAATTAATCTGTTGACACTATTTCCAAGTTTTTATTAACATACATACCTTTATACTAAATACTTGTTCGTTTCTTTTCTTACCTTGTACTTCATTAATCGTCCTTGTACTGGTATAGTATGTTATTCTTTTTTTGAGAGTATTATTTACCTTGAAGTAAAATGTTTATAATTAATAAAAAATAACATATAGATTTTATCTGACTTTATTTCTATGGCAATAGGATCGCAACAAATTCTCTTAATATGAACTCTAAACATTTGCTATTTCTCTTCTATAAACGTTCTGTTTTTGCTTTCTTAATCTAAAAACAGTATATCGACGAATGTCGTACTAACAATTGAATTTTTTGACTAGTATTTTTTTCTTTTTTTTTTTTATGATGTGAATTCTCTTTTGTTGAAAAGAAGAAATACTAATCTAAACATGGATATGATGAATCTTCTCACACACAAAGTTCTTTTTTTTTTTACTGTTCTCTGTGTGTTTGATGAGTTAAGAGAAAGAGAAAATGAATAGAGATTCGACGAAAAAAAAAAACGGATCAAAGCAGTACACACACAGATACTTACACTCATATTAAACATTCGAACATACACACATACATATATATATATATAGACACAGACAAAGGTATATTTTCAAAATTTCTTAGTCAAACTTTTCTCAGCAGCCAGTTTTTTCATTTGTTTTAAACGTTTTTCAAAATCAAGACCCGTTGCTATTTTAGTATTTGTACCAGTTGTTGATGATGGTGAATTACTACAAGAACTACTTAAACGATTAAATGTTGTAGTACTTGTTGATGGAGGAGATTTAACCACGGATGTTTGTCGACCTAATGGTGTCGGTGAACTAATTCGTTGTAAAGTTTTAGATGTTGGTAATAATTTTTGTGTAGATTTTAATGATGATGATGATATTTGAGGTTTTAGTACAGGTGGTGATGATGGTTTATTAGATTTCAATGATGAAAGTGATAATGAACTTGTTGTTTTTAATGATCCTGTATTACTACCATTTATTGATTGTTTTAATGATATTGAACTTAATGATTTAGGTGATGGTGGTGAACGTTTTGTATTATTACTATTACTGGTTGTAGTCAATGCTGTTAATTCAGCAAGAATTGAACTTGCTGAACTATTCGAAGTAGTACTAGTCACTTCTGATGTTGTCTTTTTTTCTTTAAATCCAGTTGCTAATGATGCCCAACCATTAGTATTTTTTGTTGTAATACCATTAGTTAATGAAGAATTTGAACTAGATATTGATGGATTACTAATTGTTGTAGTATCAGATATTATTGAATCAGACGACTATAAAACAAAAACAAAAAAAATTTGAATAAATGATATTTGAATAAACAAAAATAAAAAAATATCAATTTTACTTTTGGTTTAAATGAAAAAAGTCCAGTAGTTACATCTGTAATAGAAGTTGATATACTTTTTTTTCCCGTAGTTAATGTTGATTCGGTAGTTTTTGATTTATTAATTGATGAAGAAGGATTACTATTTAATTTTGTTTCTTTTATTGATGATTGTGATTGTTGCTATAAATAGAATTATTTTTTATTAGATAATTTTAATAATGGCAAAGTCAGGATTGAGAGTTAAGGGAGTTCACTCTTCTCTATGGACTTTTGCGCTCTCTAGTGAGAATTTTTAAGAACCAAAAAAACATTTTTCAAAAATTTCGCTAGAATGGGTTCAAGAGTTCGTTGAGGTGGGGCTGAGACTGAGGCTCACTCTAGCCTGCCACTGAGTTTGATTGATAAAGAACATATTTTTTATTCTTACTCGTTTATTAATCGATCTTCGACATTTTGCACAGTACCATAAACATCGAGGATCACTAATATCAGCAGTACTGACGGGTGGTTTATGACATTTTTGATGATACTTAGCATGGCACTCATGACAGTCAACTAAACGATTGTCTTTTTCTTCTGTCAGAACCCTTTAATAAAAAAAGAAAAAGAATTTTATCAATTAAAATTGACAATAAATATTATTATTTTGACTTACATGCATTTATTGCAAACAAGACCTAATTCAATAGCAAATTCATCAATATCACGAGATGATGATGGATTTATTTGAGATTCCGATGATTTTGATTTGATTTCATCATTATCATCGTCATCTTGATAGATATCATCGTCTTTATCATTTGTATGAATAATTTCTTCTGATTGTGGTTTTTTCTTTTTTGATATTTCATCATCATCTTTAATTACCGAAGATTTTAAACGTTTTGGTGGTGGTGGTTTTGAATTTGTTGTTAACGGTGCTGAACGTTTCTTCTATTAGAAAATAGAAAAAAAAAATTTTGATTAAAATTATTCAAATAGATAATAATTTACAGGTAATGGTTGTGGAGAATTAGATGTTGCTTGTAAATCAGATTTCGAATCTGATGATGAAGATTCAGGAGAAGACTAAAAATAATGAATTTTCTTTTCTTTTCTTTCTTATTAAATATATATGAATAACAAAAAAACCTTTGGTGATTTATTGATTTGTTTATTTTCTTTAATGAGTTCATCTATTAATAACTGAAATTGTTCAGACATATCAGATGGATTTGTTAAAAAAATTGAAAGTGTCCGTTGTAGATAATCAAATTGCCGTATTGGCTGTAAGTCCATTATTTAAAAATGATTATTAGACAAAATATGGAAAAAAGAAATCTGAAAAATATTTTACTATTTAAAATAAAAGAAAAGAATTTTCTTTTTTTTTCTTTTGTGAAAAAGAATTTTTTCTGATTTAATTTTCAATAATACCCGCTTTTATATAATAAATGTAGAGCGGATGTTGGTTTTGGTTTTCTTTTTTGTTTTTTTTTAAATTTTTCTGTCTTATCTTATATAGATTTAGACGGAAAATTTTAATTTAATATTTTGCAAAAGAAAACATATTTTATTGGATTTTCTTTTGTTTTGTTTTTTTAATTCAGAAATGAAATTCTGACATCTTGGGTATGAGCTCTAGATATTATACCTTTTTTTTTTAATCGAAATTTTGAATAATAACGACGTTGATGAGAAGAATAACCACCATGCAGTACAGTTGTTCTTCGTATGTTCATTTGTTTTTTGTTGAATATCTAGAACACATGCACATACGTTCACGTGTTCATCGCAGAATACGAACTAACTGATAAATAATATATATATATATATCTAACGACATCTATATATGTATGATATCTTCATTGAAATATATTTGAATATTTCTATTTTTATATCAATTTAACGTTTTGATCCATTTAAATAAACGCGATCTAAATATGATTTTATGAATAATTCAAAATTAATATTTTCATCAATGATGAAAAAAAAAACTATCGAATACCAATAACTGCTGACATCTACTCATTAAAAAAGAAAACTTGAATAAATTAATGCTTTCTCTCTCGCGCGCATGCTCTCTCTTAATTGTGCTCATGTTTTTTTCCTGCTTCATTGTATTCTTTTTTTCTCTTGTCAATATAAATAAGATAATAAAATGCAAAAACAAAAATTTCATATTAAATAAGTTCTAGAAAAACATGTCATATTGCAAGTAGTAGAGCACTCGATTGAATCTCTTTCGACCAGCATATTGATGGACGACGAATGATGTGTGCACCAGCACTCATTATGAGTCTTTGAGTGTTCAAGCTATTTGGCAAGATGTACATGTTTTTTTTCTTTCACTCAACGACATTCCTCTCTCATCCAAAGTGCCCACTCATTTCAGCCATATACCATATGTTTGACTCTCCCTCTCCCCTACATATATATTTATATATATATATATATATATGTAAACGGGTGGATGCATTGTGCACCGAACCCCATTTGGTAGCGTCATCGCCTAGAATAGAAAGAAAGAGGCAAAGAACGAATGTACGTTTTATATTTCTTTTCTCATTCAACGATATTAGACAATAATGCGATGACGATGTACTTTACCCGAGAAAAGAAAAGAGAACGATGGAGCCGAGATTCGAACCACATTCCTTCTCACAGCAACAACACTATACATGCATACGAACAAAATGACGGAAAAAGCCAACAGTGAGCCCTCCATCATCGCCCTCTATTTATATGTCGCTCTTTCTCTCTCCCTCGCTTATAATCAAGAAAAGAAAAAAAAAAAAGAGAAAAAGAGAAGAAAAAGAAAAAGAAGAAGAAAAAAAACATGACGAAGAGGAAATAACATCGAGTCAAACAAAACGAACATGAATGCAATGCATGTACGCATATAATATGTCGTTGTCATGCATCTCGAGAGAGTGAATAAGAGAAATAGAGAAAGATAGTCTACTATCGCGCCATTAAAAATAAGATGTTTTACTGACTCCATTAAGACGATCGATAGAAAGAAAGAAAAAAAGAAACAAGAAATAATATTACACCTACAATGCATCGTCGTATAAAAGCTTTGTCGGGTAAATTGAGTTGAGGGGCCGAAAATGGGGTCGACCAGTTTCAATCTCATCTGATATATTTTTTAAAATATCGTATTTAATAATTTGTTCATTGTTAATGAATCTTAGAATATATATATATTTATATATTAGCATTGTTTATGTGAAAAAAAAAGTTTAATTTTCAAACGATATTTTATTTTTTCTTATATCTTTCTTTTAATATCACACAAAGAAAAAATAATGAAAAAAAAAAAAGATTCAAAACGATTTTTTGTTGCTGTTGTTGTTGTTGTTGTTTCTGATGATTTTATATGTTGAATTGCCTGAATATATAATATCGTTTGTTCTTTTTTTAATTTCGTTCAATATCATCTTTGCGTGATAATGGTGTATCACGTTTCTTACGAAATGAACAACCTTCCGTAAGACGAGCTTTACCACCCGATGGTGAACAGAGTACATAATTACAACCAACACATAAAACTACGGTTTGTGCGTGGCTGAAAACTAAAGAAATAGAAAAAATCAAGTTGTAAATATCAAAGAAAATTTATTTTGCTTTTTTTACCTGTTGTAATCTTGTAACAACCTGGACATTTAACATCCATAAAATACGAATTTGGACTTTGTACAAGTCGTTTCTTCTTATGTTTTCGACGTTCTACTTCAATTGATGGATGAAGGAGATCTTTAGCCAAAGGCATATTTGATTATTTTAAAATAATAAATAAATATATCTGAAAAAAAAAATCGATAAATTTTTGTTGCATGATTAATATACTCTCATTGCAGCTAATTTTTTTTCGTATGAACCTGTCATATCTGAGCAAAGACGAAAAATAAAAATAAAAAGTAATTAATAATGATCGGAATCTTTGAAATATGCTAATAAGCAAACAAAAAAAATACATGGTAGAGCCAACAATTGATGTCAAACCGGATTAATAGATTGAAACATAAAAGAAAAAGAAAAAAAGCAACAAAAAAAAAGTTAGTAGTCAGATCATATAAATCTATATGTTGTCAAATATATACATATATTGATTATCATTTAAAATATTTAGCAGCACTAATCAATATAAGTTTTTCAACAAATAATTCAGAATCCAATATAGCTATATGTGCTGCACGACCAATAATATTATTAGTACCCGATGGAATGTTATGAAAAGCGTTATAACGAACGAATGTTATTGATGGATTACGTAGAATTGGTTCAAGTAAATTACTTATCATTTCGACATAAATTGAGCCTGAAAATATGATTTAAATGATAGTAATTACAAACTTAAATGACTATATATACGAAAAGAAAAAGAACCTATATCTATCAGTCTTTCTATATATATATATGAATGCAAGAACATTCCGGAACTATCAAGGACATCCTATAATATTCGAATGACAGATGACTAAAGCCTAAAAATTTCTAGAAGTTAAAGGTAAAAGGAAAATTTTGACTCAAAAGTTTTATCTAATCTGAAAATATTGAATTCTATATACAAAACAATTATTTTCAGATAAAATTATCATTGTCACGAGAAAAGAAACTTATGAAAAAGTCTATCCTATAATTATCATCAGTAGATAATTATACTAAATGAATACTCAATATAAAAGAAAAGTAACGAAATTATTTTTAATTATTTTTTTTTTGTTTTAAATCAAACAACAAACCGTAAGCCGTATCTTTCAATGCAGCTTTGCAAACTTCAATTCGAGCTGAATGAAATGGAACATAACGATCTTGTGGTGAGGCAACTAATAAAATATTTTTAAAAAATTCTAAACCTAAATATACACAATAAAACAAAACATGAAAATGGTGATCATAAACAAAACATTTGTTCATTTCGACTTACAAGGTTGTTTACTAAGTTTATATAAATATGTTTGTTTCGGATCAATATGGTCGGAAAATGACATTTGTGATAAACTGAATGATTTTTTCCATTTTTGCATTAACCACATTCCTAAGAAATAATTTTCGTTTTTTTTTTTCTTGAAATTTAAAATTTTTATTTAAATAGACCTATATTAACTAAACCACTTGTATTAAATAATGTTCCTAAATGTGGTCCAGATAAAGAAAGATATGTATAAAGTAATGGTCTATATGGTTCAAAACGTTGATGACTAACAGCAGCACGTATTATTAAATTTCCCAATGAATGACCAATAAAACTTATACGTTGTGGTTTTAATCCATAACGTTCAATATGTATATGAATTTCTTCAATAAGTTGTTTAACCATAACATCAATATCATCAAATGTTGATGAATGATTTGATGATGACATAAGAAAATCTAATTGACATGATGGTAAACATAATTCAAGATAGGTTTTTATTAAACGTAAATCACCAGAATTACCATCTAAACCATGTACACATATTATAAGATGAGTACCATTTGTATTAAATGGTATTATATCTGGAGAAAAATATGGATTCATTGATATTGGTGTTGAAAAATCAGAAAAAAACATTAAATTTGATGAATATTTTGATGATAATATTTGTTTTAATTTTTCTTTGTGAACAACAAATCTAAATAATATGAAAAATGATTTGATATTTTTCTTTTTATAATTAATAGGATTAAGATTTTTACAGAAATCCTTGTTGTCAGGTAAGATTAATGAGAAGAAATTTTCTTTAAAGATCTTAGCTATTTGCTTTTAAACCTATTTTGCTCAAGGAAACAAAATTGAATATAGATTTTTTTTGAAGTTTCAAGTTAATTTTGATATGTCATTCATCGTCATATTACATACAAAAAAAAAAAACGACACAATAGTTACATTAATTGACTCAACCGATTGACAATCTATCGACTTGCTGGCCTCGGTTTTTTTCAAGAAAATTTTCAGTTAAAATATACAGATAAAAACAAAATCTCGAATAATTGATTAAGGGGACCCCCCCCCCTTTCCCAACTCAAAATTTTCACATTTTTCATTTTTCATTTTTTGTGATTAGTATATAGATTTAAATGCCCTCTATCCATTGAGTACATTTTGAGAACTGAAAAACCACATCTTATATATAAAAAAGTCGAAAAAAATCACAAAATATGCTGAAAAAACCAAAAAAACACACATTTCTTTGCGTTTTTCTCAAAATCAGTTTTTTCAGCAAAAAAATGAAGTTTTCCCCCTTTTTCTCCGCCATTTCAAGTCCGATCGGGCTGAAAATTGTTTTGGTGAGACTTCGAGTGATTTGGGTTGGGCGTTTCTTTTTTTTTTTGGATACCTTCTACCAATCAAGTTTGGCAGGCTTCGCAAAATTTTTAGGATCCAAAAAATCTAGAGATTTTGCAAGGTGCTCAGTATTTTGGTTCTCCAGCCTGAAGTATTTGGAATTTTTGAAAAAAAAAAAAAACGCCCACCCCGATTGGGTCTGTCTACCCACAGCAAAAATTTCAGCTCAAACGGATGAAATTTGTGGATTTGCGGGGGGGAAAACTTTTTGCAAGTTTTTGACCTTGGGGTCTCTGGAAGTCCATGAAGATGACGTCTGGCAAATTTGTGTCTATGACAACTTTTGCTCTACTACTCGAGGTCTATCTACCCTGCAAGTTTCAGGAATTTTCGTTCGGCCGTTTCTTAAAAACGCCGGAAAGGGGGGGGGTCCCCTTAAATGAAAAAGAATGAGTAAAATTATGAACTATATAAAATTTAGAGGATTTTATGCACTTCAAAATGATTACAAAGTTAGACTGCTATAAAACAAAAGTGACAAAGTCATAAACTACACTATTGACGAATTGATCAATATTATTTTTTTATCTGTAGACGATAATACAAATATATGAATAACTCGATAAAAATAAGAAATAATTTTTGTTGTGATGGTAAGAGAATTATTCATTTCTTCTATTAGTTAAATGACAGATGAATTTCTCATTGAAGAAATTAAAAAAAAAAAACGATTATATTTCTGATGGTTCGAAAATGAAAGAAAAAATAGACTGAAATAACATACTCAATAGTTTGACTATTAATCGAATTATTTTGTAATCGATCATATTCTAATGAATTTTCCTGTTGATTATTTTCTAAATTAATTGATTGATCATTATTATCATCAATAATATTCATAGAAGAATTATATTCATTTGTTTTTTCTATTAAATTTAATTGATTTTCATCATCAGTTAAACCATTTAATAATAATGGATCAATATCATTTGTTGATGTTGTATGTCGACGTTGAATATCATCTGTTGATCTTTGTTCTAATTCTAAAGTAAAATTAAGAACAGAATCAAGTGAATAATTCACTGGTCGATTTGTTGTTGATATTTTATCATCACTGTTTGTAATAAAATATTTTTTTTGTATATTTGTTGAATGTTGTTTAGTATTATTATGTGTTTCTGATGTTGATAATGAACGTAATGTTGTTGGTTTTTTTATTGGTCTATCCATTGTATGAGCTTTACCACGATATGATGCTCGTAAAACTTTTGATTTCATACTTGAATCATCAAATGTTGATGCAGCAACAATATTATTTTGATTATTTGTTAGAAAAACTTCATCATTTATTTTATCTGATGTTCCACATAAAAAATTTGGAACAATTGGTGAATCAATTAGATTTGAATTTGTTGTTGATGCACTATTACTTCGTTTGAATGAAACATTAGGTAATGAATGATGACTTGTTGGTGTCGATAAATATGAAGAATTGAATTTATTATAATGACTATTATTTATATCTGAATCAGATTGATTAGGAAATAGACCAAATGATGGATTAATATGAGATTTAAGTGTTGGTGATGATTGTATATTATCTTGATCAACTTTACGAATAGAAGTTAATTTTACAAATGGCTCATTAGGTAATGCGACTACGGGATTAGTATGTTTTAATGTATGATTTCGAAATAATGAACTGCTTTTAGCAGATTGATGACGAGTTGGTGTTGCACTTGTCTTATTTGAATTGTTCTCAGTTGGTGATGTTTTTGTTGGTTGTTGTTGTTGTTTCTGAGTTTTTGAATGTGATGTTGATGGACTATTTGAAACAGAATTGGACGTTGTTTCATTTAATTTTCCACTAAAACTATGACTGAGATTTGGCTGGAGTTTATCTAGGAACAAAGAAACAATATAAAAAAAAGTCCTATTGACACCTTTATTTTTTGAAAAGAAAATTCATCCTATTATTTAATTCATAAAGAAAATTAAAATGTATCAGTCACAATCAAAGTTTTAAACTAAAATATCCCAATATAAATGTATCTATCATAATCATAGAAGTAAATTCTTTGAGAACTACATACAAGATTCTATATCATTAGATAGATTCTTACTAAGATTTTGAACTCTTTGTAAAACAGAATTATCATTGCTAGTCTTTGAATTTAATGATGATAAAATTGCTGTTGTTGACTGTTGTTCAGTAGGTGTATAAATTTCTTCGACAAGAATTGGTAAAGTATCTGGTGTACCATCAAGTTCAACACATTCAATTGGTAAATGTGGTAAACGTGAATAATATAAAGAATTTCTAACAAGTTCATGTAAATCATTATATATGTCACTTCTAAATCATAAAAAGAAAAAAAATTTTATTTAGATAAAGTTAAAACAAAGTAATTCCAATATTCATACTCATTGATGAGAAGATTGATTCGTGATGTTTCACGAAGAAAGAAACATTCTGAAAGACGTTTTACCTATAAAAAGGA